CCGGTCTGTGCTCTCCGCAGTTGGCCCTGGAGGCAGAGGGAGGCCCAATAACCAGCATCCTCAGAGAGGAGGGCTCAGCCAGGCCCCTGAGAGGGTGTGAGCTGGGGGGCTGGAACAGGGTAAGGAATGAAATCCCTCTCTTTCCAGAAGCTTCTAGCCTCCCTTCTGCACCCCCTTCCCCTCTAGCTGAAGGGAGCTGGCTCATACCCTAGCCAGGGCTTTGGAGCACAACCCTTTCTGGGTAGCTCTCCCTGGCAACAGGACAGATTTGACCAGGACGCAGGTGGGGCCCCATAGGTAGCCAGGGACCTGTGACTCTGTCCTCAGCTGTCCGGGCCACGCTGCCTGCTGCCCGTGGACCTCGGTGAACAGACCCCTTCGTGATGTTAGAGCGAAGCTGATGCTTGCGCTGCCATAAAGCTGGAGGGACGTGAGGTGGTGGAGGCCTTCCTGTGTCTAGTCCCCTGTGTTCCTCACACCTCTGAGGGTGGTGCTCTCCCCCCTGCAGGCTCTAGGCTCGGTGGGCAGGGAGGCAGGGGACGGGTAGCTCTGGCCTAAAGCCACCAGCCCAGAAGGCCCATGTAATCTGGTCCCAGAGCTCTGCAGAGCCCAGGAGTCCATCTCTCGGATGGATACACTGGGGCCCAGCAAGGTGAGGTTGGCAGAACACGCCAGCCCTGTGCTTGGCAGCTGGTGGAGAGCAGGGGTTGGTCGAAGAGAGTGCATGTGGTGGGCTGCCAGAGCTGGGGGAGCGGGAGGTAGGGGATTGGTGGGGTGGGGCTCAGGGTAGCCAGTCCCAGCAGCTGGGAATTAGTCTTGTAACATTTCATGCTTCTCTGGCTGTTTCTAAACTAGGTGTCAATTCACAACAGGCTTCAAACGTCCCAACACAACTCCGGGCTGGGGGCCGAGTGGGGATCTCCATCGCCGCCAGCGCCAGACCTACAGCCTAGCCCCCCGAGAAGGCAGCCCCCCATGCTGCCGCTGCGGCCGCCACCACCCACGCCCCCAGGGACCCTGGTGCAGTGCCAGCAAATTGTCAAGGTCATTGTCCTGGACAAGCCCTGTTTGGCCCGCATGGAGCCCCTGCTGAGCCAGGCGCTCTCCTGCTACGCCTCCTCCTCTTCTGACTCCTGTGGGTCCACACCCCTGGGCGGCCCAGGCTCCCCGGGCAAGGCCATCCACCAGCCCCCGCTGCCCCC